ACTTCTCTCTCTCTCTCTCTCTCTCTCTCTCTCTCTCTTGATGTCATTGGGACTGTTTTAGATTTCATCTTCCTTTGGTGTTGGGTTAAAAAACAATATATGGTGGAATGTCTGATCACCAATCATTGCAGATAAGAATGACATTAGAGTTTAAATTTGATTCAAATTTCTGGTTGTATTCAAACAAATCAAAAGATATCAAATAAATAGTAATCATATGCTTCACTCATCATCTTAAGCCTCATATTGGAAAGATACAGTGAATCCTGCCATTTCCATACGACCATCTTGACATGTTAGGAAAATTAGATCATGATGATTTGATATAATGTGATTTACTTCCTCTTTATTTCGGGTTGCCCAAAGTACATTGTATGAGATATATAATTAAGTGTAGTTATTTTCCACTTTCTTTTTATCTCTCTCTCTCTCTCTCTCTATCCTTATTCTGTGGAGGATATATAATTAATTGTAGTTATTTTTCACTTTCTCTTTATCTCTCTCTATCCTTATTCTGTGGAGGATTAGTTGTCCACCATGATGAGTAGAACTGGACTGGATTTGACATGCATTTTTTGACCATGGTGATGGATAATGAAAGATGTGACCTAACATACATCCAAAGATCTTTACTAAAGGTAAGTGCAATCAGTCAAAATAAAGCCCAGCAAACTTATGTCACTTCCCAATAGTCTTGGCTGAGTCATCTTATCCAATCATGTCTGTTCTGAAAGTTATGCAGCTTGTCTTCACTAAGTCAAAAAAATATTTAGTTTCCCGTTAGCTTAGAAATGATTACATCCTCCCCTCTCTCTCTCTCGACAATAGTTAAGGAGGGATGAAAGAGAGGCAATTCTGAATAAGCGTGAGAAAATAGGTATCATGATAATAATTTTGTTATCCAATAAATTCTTTGTACATGAGATTTATTTATTTATTTTTTTTTTATGTTATGGTGATAATTAATCCTACATGCAGAAGCACATTTCAACCAAGAGTTGATATGAAACATAACCTCAGTTATGAGGGAAAAAAAAAGAAAAGAAATCAATTATGGAGGTTCGAAATCAAAAATTAATTCCATTAATTATGATTTATAGCGTTTTCAAGTGCTTAGAAAACGAAATTGATATTGAATACATCTTATTGTATCCTAAAACTAGAATAACATAAATGATGTAGAAAAACATGAAAATTTTTAATTTCTTTTGATACTTATTTATTATTGATTAAATAAAAAAATATACCCCACAAACTCGATGGATATATTAAGTTTGCATTGGAAATATATTTTTTAATTTAGTTCTTCTAATAATCACATATACATATATATATATATATATTATTCCTTTAAATATTTGAATATTTCATATATGCCACTCTCGCTAGCATCAGTTTAGTAAGCTCAACTTAACAAGGAGAAATAAGCAAGTTAATTAAAAATATATTAATATTGTTAAAATTATATTATAATTAAATATCCAAAATACTCATTATTTTTAGTGCCTTTGAAGGGATATTAATGCCAATTTGAGTTTTAACAGTACTATGCTACGGTCAACGGTCAACGACTAATAATGTTTTAAATTTTACGATGATATATATGTGTATGTATATTTTTTATATTTAAATATAAAATAGTAAATCCGTAAATCACTATATATATATATATATGTATATATATATATATAAGTATAAATATAAAATTTGTTTATTTGTATTATTGTTATTATTATTATTATTATTATTATTATTTGCCTATATGTATTATTGGTGTCCAACTTTGCTGTAATGCCAAACGAGCCCTAACAATGGTAGGCTTTTGACTCCAACGTAGGCATAGTGTGGAGACAGCGAGTGTGACTCCTCTTCCCATCATTCGGTGTCACCACTCCTACTTTCTTGCTCTCCTTCCCCCTCCCTTCCTCTGTTCTCCTTTTGCTTTCCATCTGTGCCCGCAGTTGGCTCGCAGTGACCCGCGGTGGAGAGGCGTCGGTGATCAAGGAAAGCGCGTGCGAATCTTCGCGAGGCCTCGTGGAGCTCTTTCCATTTTTCTCCTGTCCTGGTCTTCCTCCGCCTCCCCCGCCGCCGATTCTTACCCTCTTTTGCGCGAGTAACCGTAGAAGATGGGCGGGTGAGCACCGGAACCAGGAAAGATGGGGTCTTGACGTGCAAGAGGTGAGGAGCGGCGGGAGGGATCCGATGGAGAGGGGGAGTGATCGGAGAGAGGTGGTATTTTGATGGAGGAGGCGCGAAGAATGGAGTGGGAGAGGGGCCCTGGTGGTGGTGGTGGCGGCGTGAGGAACGACGAGGAAGGGGAGGGGAGGAGTGGGAGCGGAGGAGGAGGAGACGGTGCGGGAGGGGAAGGGGTTCTCTACGTGAAGGTGATGACGGACGAGCAGATGGAGGTCCTCCGTCGTCAGATCGCTGTGTACGCCACCATCTGCGAGCAGCTCGTCGAGATGCACAAGGCCATCACCGCCCACCACGACTCCCTCGCAGGTGATCGATTCCGACTCCCTCCTCTTCCTCTTGATTAGGAGAAAAGATTCCTTTTTTACCTTCATATCAGAGGGGAAACATGATGTAGCTCTGTCACTTCGTATCAATGCGTTGAGATTTGGACCTAATTTTGATTTTGTTTGGACTTCAAATTGCTCTCTTTGTTTCGCTATCTCCCATAACTCCATGTTGTGCGTCTTATTGGACTTCGTTCATATTCGAATCATGAACATTTATTGAGGCTAATACTAATAATCTTTTCTTGCCTGTTGGAAACATTATGTTCGGTGGTTTAGCATTAAAGGTTTTGGAGCAGTGGCAGGCTATACGCATGTGGATTGGACAACATTATCTATCAGAAAACAGTCACTTTGATGTTATTTTAGATCCTTTCAGCAAGCCCATTAAAAAACGAGATTCTTTTAGAGATGTCCTTAATTTTCCAGATTAAAATAATTTGTATAACATGATTTACCAACTCTTGAAATGAGATGGCTTGGTTGTTTCCATCACTTAAAAAGGATTTTAGAGGAGGGCTGATGCATTTTTGTTATGCAAAGTACCGAAGGATGCAAAGGGAAGATCTACCTTGTTGTTTTAGGAATTGCCTTATATTTATATGCCAATTTGTTGATTTTGGTAGTGTTGTTTATAGCTAGGTTTTTCATTGTCATACAAAATAAGCAAACTTTGTACTGGCAGACTTTAATGGTGTGTTGTCTTACTTATTTCAAGTTTGTCAAGCGCCTTTGTTTAACTTCTCAGGTTTATTCTAATATCTGTAGAAGAATAGAAGAGCAACAACTCATTTTGTTCAAAATGCTTGCGCAATAGCTGGAGACTTCAATTTCTTCCCCTTGTATTGTATTTTTATTTAAGAACCATAATGGGAAATCATTATTTTTTTGGTTTAGGCATTTCTGTAGGAATCACATCTTAGTTCTTGTTAAATTTTTTTTCGAGTAAAAGCTAGAAGCAAGCACTTCCCCACCATATCTAATCAACAGAAATTGAAGTGTACAGGAAAAATCAAAACAAACAGATGAAGAAAAGAGCAATCATTATAATGCTTCTCAACATATTGTGGAATGTCTGTCCTCATAAAACTTTCATCATTGTAATGCTTTAGTACTTTTTTTTTGTCCTTGTTTCTGGCTTTTTTTTTCCAAGTCAATCTATTAAACTTGTCATAGAACCTCGAAGGATCCTGCACTGGAAGAACTTGGGATAACTAGTATTTGTTCAATCTGATCCCTGCATAAGGCATTGAGTTTTGATCTTCTTCTTACAAACTGCATTCTACATTGCTTTACACAGTATGTGGACATGCTGTCTTGGGCATAAATTGCTTTATGAAACAAATAAACAAGATATGTGCACTAATTATTTCACTTGCTCCAGCAGCATCATGAAGCCCACTTAACAAAATTAACCTTTGATGATCCATTTCCCTAAACTAGTAGTCAATCATGCACCTTTTTCCAGTTACTCGAAAATTATACATATGGCTGCTTTTTTATCCTCCCTTGTTACTTGCACTGGAAAGCTAGAACACCAATATAAGTTAATTATTATTACAGGAACCATATTTGATGTAGACCGAGCAGAAGAATGACCTATTCTCTGTTTACCTTCCCTGTGCTTCTTCATTGTTTTAGGAATGAGGCTGGGAGGCCTCTACAATGATTCCCTGATGGCATCTGGTGGTCACAAAATCACTGCTAGGCAGCGATGGACTCCAACAAGCATGCAGCTACAGATTCTGGAGACCATGTTTAATCAAGGCAATGGGACTCCAAGCAAGCAGAATATAAAGCAGATAACAACTGAGCTATCACAACATGGTCAGATCTCTGAGTCTAATGTCTACAACTGGTTCCAGAATAGAAGGGCACGATCAAAACGCAAGAAGATGGCTGCATTACCGAGTAATACCGAATCTGAAGCCGAGGCAGATGAGGAATCCCCAGATGAGAAGAAACCCAGGCCCGATGAGTTCCATCACGAAAACCTGCCTGTCAGCATCAGTAATCATCCCATTTACGATGAACAAATGAATGCAGAAGTCCATTTGTTAGCATCTGAGATAAATCAAGCACAAGGCAGATGCCGGTTGAATGAGAGTTTGAAGTCTTCTGGCGGTTTGGACCATATGTCCTATGAAAGTGTTCTATCTACTCCAAGTAGGTTTCTTCATCATTATTTTCCTTCTTTCTTACCTTCATATCAAAATGTCTTCTTTGACTTGATTGATCAATGCAGGATTAGACCACCTGATGGATAAGTTTGATATGCCGACGAGCTTTAGCCCTTTCCACTCTGGAGAGAGGTATGATGTCATGGGTTGACATCGTGTTCGAGTCAAAACTGATCATGACTCGATAATGACCGATAAGTTACATTTAGGGAACTGCAGAGGTATATTCGAGGAATTGTGATATACTGCTCCAACTGAGAAGGTGCTTTCTGGAAATCATGTATGTTATTAGGATCTACTAGATGACTCTTTATCAAACTTTAAATCAGTTTTTGGTTCCTTCTTACATCGAACATTAGCAATAAAAATATAGTGCACGTGCTTTTCGTCATGTTCAATCGTCATTTCTTTGTTCAATTTGAACTGTTTCTTTCTTTGCTCTCTTCAGCAAATATACTCAATACCTTTGACATCTTCAGAATAAGATCCTTGTGTTGATTAAAATAGGATCAAAATGACAGTTGGATGTGGCTTTGCTGCATGATGGAATAACAGGCATAATTGTTCGTCTGCAAGGAGACTATGGGCTCTATAGTTCCTACAGAACAATATTAGCATTTGTTTCAGAATGGTGTCCATACTGATCTGTCAAAGGTACATGTTCTGTTTTGGATAGATAGAAATCCAGTGTAAGAACTCCAATATAAGATGCAATGAGGTGAGTGATCTCCAAGAGTTAGATTGGTAAGCCTTTGGTTGAGTTGATGCAGAATAGCAAGAGTTAGTTGAAGTGATCTCCAAGCTCATATATTTTACCTCATCGTTTCTTTTCAGAAAAAAAAACGTCACCCTAATACCATATATGAATGTTTAACTTGAAAAAAAAAGTGGATCAGATGCAAAGAGAGACTTTTAATGTCATGAGACGTATTTATTTTTCGACAAATTTTTTAATAAAGTTTAGTTTTTAATTTTTTTTCTCGTAAAGTATTCTCTTTTTAGTTATTTTCTAAAAGACAGTTACCCTTAGTCTTTGTCCTATCGTGATTACCTTTGTCCTGTTGTCGACTTTAACAGAGGGGAAGGAGGTGGCACCCGTGGGACTTCCTCTCTCTCCTCTTTATGGCCCATTGCTTTCAAGCGGTAGCAACCATGCCTCTTTCACTAATGATTAGGAGTTAGCTTTACTCCCTAAGTCGAGCAAGAACAAGAGGTATGATTGAACAATGACGAAAAACAAAAGTGACGAGCAAAAGCAGGCGAGAACATGATCCTTTTAGTATGGGAGCTTCAAAATCTAAGAGATGATGAATGGGTATGAGGGTGGAGACGATAGACAAGGTCGAAGGAATGATAAGAACGAGGAATGAGGGGTAGGGGTGGAGGTTAGATATAATTTATCTTTTAAAAAATAAGGAGTATTATATGAGAATATACAAAAAGGGATGTTCTAGAAAAAAAATTTAATTTTTTATAAATAAAGAGATTATTTTCATGATTCACTTGCTTATGATTTATTTATAACAAAGTAAACTTATATTGAATCATCAAAATAAGATAGAATGATTCGATTTTAATGTTTGCTCTGATTTTGAATCATTAATTAAATCCTTGAGTTAATTAGTCCAATGACATGTTTAATATTTTTTAAAAATAAAAATAATTACATATTTATTTTTAAAAATATAAATAAATATTATAATTTATTTTTTATAATATAGTGGAAGAGAATGATAGAACCAGAGTTTATTTATATGTTGATAGAATGACAGAATGAAGTTTTATTCTCTTTCATCTTATAATAGAAAGACACAAATATGTATCCAAAATTTAATTTTTTTTTTATAATAATGTAATCCTTTATTGTTTAAATGATCTCCGATTATAATTTTTTTATTTGATTGATCGGTACGATTCTAATATAAACCAATGACGATATTTATTACGATAGAAATTAAGATGAGTTCTTTCTTTCTAACCTCTATTTTTATGTTTCTTAATTCCATTTTTCATTTTGTATTAATCTATTTTGTAATTATGTCTTGAATGTTATATTTACGGTTTTTATCCAATAATAATTGATTGGGCACGATATATATGCATACATAATAAAGATATAATATGTATATTATGTATATATATATATACATATATACATATACATATGTATATATGTATATATATATACATATATACATATACATATGTATATACACATATATTCATATACATACATATATATATATATATATATATATATATATATATGTATATACACACATATATTCATATACATACATACATATATATATATATATATATTCCTGCAACTCTCCTCTGTTGTGTGACGTGTTTTGGGGGAAAAGATTCCATCTTTGGCTGAAGCCCTCCATCGAATTCTCTCGTCGAGAGAAAGCCCTAATCGGAGAAACGAGGTAGCGATCTCTACCTTCTCGATCTCGTTAGCTTTTGTGCGGTGCGACAAGTCTCTAATTTTATCGTATTGAGCACACCCCTCACCTCAAATTGCCATCTTTGCATCTCGGACGATTTTTGATGGAGTTCGATCGATGGTAGTTGAAATTTTCTTGCTGGATTTTATCGTCCTTAGTTGAAACGATGCGCTCGCTTCGGTCGAAGTGTGAATTTGTGTCCTCGATGTTGAGGCTCATTGCTGTTGTTTCTCTTTGTTCTTCTGTTGGTAGATGAATTCATACGGTGGATCTATGCGATTTAACGGGTGGTTTTCCGAGCCCTAAGTTGGCTGTAGAATGATATGCTTGGAACCAATTCGCGATATGGATTGACAAAGATTGAGTTTTTGATCCAAGAAACCTAATTGGATACACGATCGTCGTGGGAAAGGGGGTAATTAGATGGAATTCTTCGATGCTAACACTCATTTGCCTCCTCGGAAGCGCCTGCTCGCTGAACTGAAGAGGGACAGTTCTGATTTTGATTGCCTGCCACCAATTCCTTCTGTTTCTGGGGATTTTGGTGCTCAGCTTCGCGATGTTATTAGCTCTCCGAGTTCAACTCCGGAAGAGGTCATTGAGGTCGCAAAGTCCGTTGCTTTGGCCACTGCCGAAGTTGCAACGGCAGCAAGAAACGCTGCAACCGAGAAAGCAGCCGCAGCTGCAAAGGCCAAAGCTGCTGCCAAGAGTGCACTGCTGTTTCTGGATTTGATTTCGAGGAGCAGGAATCTGAGAAAGGGTTGCTTGAGCAAACACAAAGTGAGGAAGAAACAGATTCCCATAGAGCTCTTGTATAAGACTCACCTTCCTGCGGGGAGCCAAGAAGCAGATGAAGAACTTGCCAGGAAATTGCATCTTGCAATGAATAGTTCACCTAGACTTTCAAATAATAACCGAAAGTGCATTCAAAACTTTGGGAGAGAAGTTCATTGTAATGGCAATGGTGTCTGCATAGAAAAGTCACCTGTTTTGCACAAGGATAGTGTCAGGATGACTGATAAGTATTTTATAGATAAATCAAAAGAGAAGATCGAGGGTTGTTCCGAAGCTGAGGGGGAGCAAGAAGAATCCGATTACTGCACAGAGGAACAAAAGTGTGGGTCTAGGGTTAGAGTGATAACCGAGGGTAGGAAAGTGAGAATTAAGCAAAAGAAGTTGCCTTTGAGTCAATATGGCCTTGGAGATCAAGCAGAGGTAAAAAAAATTGTCGCCCTCTGCAAACCATCAATCTTTCACTAGAAATCCAAATTTTGGCTCTGCAGAAACTAAGATGTCTTCAGATCATGCAAATCCTTCTAATGATGGTAGGATGTCGACAAATATTACATTGGCATAGAAATACAAGAAGATCAAGGTGTCACAACGCTCTTCTGATAGCATGATTTTGCCTGCTTCATGTTAAAAAATCCTTCAGCAAGGTGATTTCTACTGTTGAGTAGTAATGTTGGCATTCTCAGAATTTATAGTAGGTAATAAATTTCATATGCAATCTGAAGAGGGTGTCAAACTGACCCTCTGCAGAATGGTTGTATATTATATGGTTTTCTTCTACAAGGTTTGTTTTTGTTTCCATGTTTAGTCGTGGCTTACTTTGGTTTGTTTTAATGTGTCACCTGATGTAATTGTTACGTCTACATCTTTGTGTTACTTGTATTAATAAATCAGTAATAAGTATTTCATAGTTACGATGGACACCATACTGATTCTCATTTCATTTATGGACCATGTTACATTAGAGACAGTGGAATTTAGTTAGATGCAACATGAATGTATATACATGCGCTTCCGACCTAGCACACTGCCTTGTTTGATTGAGCATGGAGCATGTAGGAAGCAACAAGGAGCTGGAATAGGGAAAGTATAAGTTAATTACATCATTTGGTGTGCTTCTTGTTGCTCACTTAGAAGCAGGTGAAGGTGTATTGATGCAACCGCACTTGGTTAAACTAAGAGTTGAGTGAGTTGGTCTAGTGAAACCAAAATAGCTAAAAAGTGAGATATAAATAAATGCTTATTGTAGAATAATTTCATCTTAGCAACTGCTCCCACTAAACCATATTCTGTAACCTAAGCCTCCAGGGTGCACTCCTGAATCAACTATGACCAAGAGATTGCTCCATTAAGCCGGGAGTTTCTGGTAGGTCACATTGTTGACCAGGAAACTTGCACACCTGGTCTTTTGCAGCTATCATGATTAATGTGAAATGCTATTTGTGCTAGAAGAGTGTGTGTGCAGAATGATGAAAGAGGTCAACATATTCAGATAGATCAATGTGAGCAACATTGGTTGGCAGACCTTATTGATTTGGCATGTGAAATGTGATTTATTGAGAATTACTGCAGTTTCATGCGTGTCGCAACACATCTGGTTTCAAGTTAGGCATGGGACGCAACATTGTTCACAAGCGAAACGCCTAAAATCTAGGTGTATGCTTATCATTTGGGGTTGGTGGAAGAAAGCAATTGGGATGTGGACTAGGTGGTTCACTGACATCACCAGAAAATAGATTATTGCTTGGATTCTGGTCATGCACTAGTGCTAGTGGATGGGATCAAGAAAGCATCCATCATGCAGATAAGGTGGAAAGTGTTTTGAAGGCATGTTAGGCCAAACTGTAGTCACCAATAAATATGATGTACATATTTCATGGCTATGTTTACATTGTAGTTGTAGCTAACTGGTTTTCAGGAACAGTTGTATTTACAAGTGAGTTTACAAATTCTGAGCTTCGGCCATGAGATAAGATGTTGCAGAGTGATGAGGCACATGGAACGGAGTAATGCAGTTAAAAGGGTTATATATATTTGTGATCAAATGCCGATCATTTTTTTTTTTTGGGTGTTTTTGAATGTTTTCTCAGACAAATTGTATGAGTTGTCAGTCCCATTTTATCGTTGGTAGTATTTTTTTTTTATTTTCTATTGTGTAAAACAAGTAAGAATTGTAGACAGAATGATGTCATATGAAGGGAAAATGATTGAAATAGTCTTGTTTACATATGCCACGAGTTGATTTTCTAGCTAATGACCTTGCGGTGCGAAACATAAGCAGCTAGTGATGGATCATTAAGTCGGATAAGACTGGTTACATGTCTTGCTACAAGAGTTGCATGGGCACATGTACAGTATATAGTAGATTATCTTGGATTCTTTGTTATATGTTTAGGATTTATACAGTTGATCTTTGTATTTTGCAATGCATATAAAGTGTGCTTAAATATCTATTTGTGCAATCTTGAATGCTTGCTTCCGGTAAATCATCTTTTCTTTGTGAATCCTTGTAGGGACGCTTTGGAGATGAATATTGTAAAGATATCGCACGATTTAAGTAAAGCTAGTTAAAGGTAAACACTTGAAATGTAATGTGGAAAGCCTTTTAAATAATAAATGTTGTAGCATGAATGTAATTGAGTCAACGTTAGGGTGATATATTGAGCGTTTGACATTTCTCGACAATGGCTGCATGATAACTTCAAGAGTTGGGGCAGGGTGATATATTGAGCCAACTTCGATATGTTCCAAGGAGAAGGAAGTCGGCCTAAGTGAGACAGAGGGTGAGACCGGGGACGGTGGTGGGGGATAAGATTGACACCAGATCTGAATCCCTTCAAATGAAACGGAGAGGAGGAAGACATCTTAGATATTCAAATGTGGGGGATGGGGATTTCGGAGTCCATCGAAATTAAAGATTGATTTGTGAAAGATTGAAATGAAAGATATTCAAATGTGGGTGACTTACGCATAGATATTCAAGGTTCAAATGGTTTGAATGCAAGAGAGAAATGAAAGGAAAGAGGTCCTTCGTTTACTTAAGACGGTTCATTTGTGTAAACGATGTGACGTGACATGGGATTGCCCAAAAAAAAATCGATCACCTTGAACCCCTAATAGTTTGTTTGATACCTAACATGGAGCTCTACCATTAGGCTACATAGGCAATCTATTAGGTAATCATTGCTGGATGTTAGGGATCAGATTAAATTGAATCAAACGCTATAGTCGAAATAGTAGTAGCCTTGAAGGAGGTTGATGCAACGATGATGGCTTGCATGAGCAGATTTGATCTCCGGTATGGTTTGTTATGCAAACCAAAATTATTTGTATCAAAAGGGGATCAGCCAAGAAGCATCCTACCATGATAATGTGATCGAATCAACCATAAAGCATCGTGCAATGACAATGCTATTGAATCGGCTATAATGTGATCGAATCATCGGCTATAATGTGATCGAATCAACCATAAAGCATCGTGCAATAACAAAGTCAACAATAGGTATCTCCTGATATTATATCATCATTCTAAGACAATAATGTAATCAAACCGAATATATAGCATCTTATAATAGTGACAATAATGTGTTCTATGATGATAATGTTGAATTTCAGATTTTGATGATGAAACCAATTGATAAATGTTTATGATTTAATCTACGTTTTGAGTGATGCAGGATGCTTCGATTAGGGAGAGACAATTAAAACAGGAAGAATCATGTTGGGTCGGAGGAAAACGTGTCAGAAGATTGGACGTCGGGCTAGACGATCGGTCGACGTATCGACAGAAGGCTTCGGGCCATGGGCTCGGGCATCGGGCTAAGAAGAGCGGATATTGCATCAAAAATATCGGAGTTACGAAGGTCAACTGGCCGATTGGGCAATAGGCCACAAGAGAGCACGATGCGCCGAAGAATCAAACGAAGCATCGATGGACCAATGACATGCCGAACAACATGATTCATGCTTAGTAATAATTGTCTAGATCGAAGTGTATTTTTATATGTGCAGGATTAACTATGATAGCAAGACATAAAGCAAAATGAAGTCCCGGAGTCAAGAACGCGATTTCCTTGGGAGTTCTAGAGTTCGTCAGAAGTCCGAACGTTCATTGGAAGTTCTACCGGAACCAACCGAGAAGTCCAAGAGCTTGCCAAAGAAGCTCGTCGGAACTCGCCAAGAAGATCATTGTGAAGTCCAGGAGCTTGTTGGAAGTCCGCCGGAACATTACCGAGAGATCGTCGGAAGCTCGTCGGAAGAAATCAGACTTATCTTGCTTAGAATATGTCTTAGGAATCGTATTTAGAACATAATTAGAGTTGGGATTGGGAGGTAATCCCATCAACTATGTTAGGGGTCAACTGGGCCCGAAGTTGGACTGGTTTGGGTCGGATTCAAGGCTTAACCAAAGTGCTGAAACCTTGGCTGGCGATGGCATCGCTTGGGGAACAGCACCCCAAGATTCCTGGGCAGTGGTACCGCCGACAACAATGTTGCCAGTAGTGGTACCGCCCAGTACTAGATCCTATGGCGATAGTACTGCCCAGGAACGACGGTGGTACCGCTAGTACCTAGGAAATCTAGGATGAGACCTTTTTAGGCTCCAAGTTTGAATCAACTTAAAGCTTATAAATACCCCTCTCATCCCTGGTTAACATATACAAGCACAAAGAATTTAAAAAGGGAAAAACGCTGTAGAAATCTCTTGTGAGAATTCTCCTATAGTCTAAGTGTTAGAATAGTTTGAGAGAGGAGTGAGTGCTTGTAAGGGTTGTCTCATAAACCTAGTAAAAGGAGAAGAGGGGTGTAAGAAGGAGGTTGATCTTCGCATATTAAAGGAAGATCGATAGTGGATGCCGGTGGCCTCGACGGAAGAGGAATCGGCGGAGTGGATGTAGGTCACGACGACCGAACCACTATAAAATTGGCGTGTTCTCTGGTTTGCATTTACTTCCTGCAATTTATATTAACTGCAAATTACCTTCAATACGCTCTTACTTCGCTTTCAAAGTTAAGCATTTCTGAGTTTGGTTTTATCGTACGAAAGGATTTTCTAAAATCGATGTTTTTATCCGCTGCACTAATTCACTCCCCCCTCTTAGTGCTGACCCTTGTTCCTAACAATTGGTATCAGAGCCTTGTTTTCTCATTTGGTTTAATACCCAAAGAGAAATGACTCTTTTCGGCTTTCAAGAGGGTCACTCTCTCATTCGTCCTCCCTTTTTCAATGGGACGGACTACACTTATTGGAAAACCCAAATGAGAGTTTTCTTGCTTTCATTGAATCTCGATTTATGACACATAGTCGAATTTGGTTTTCAAAAGTCTTCTCTTCCAATGAACCATTGAAATGATTTGGAGAAGAAGACTTTTTCTCTAAATGCAAAGGCTATGAATGCCTTGTTTTGCGCCTTAGATAAAACTGAGTTTAATCGGGTTTCTATGTGCGAAATAGCTTTCGACATTTGGCACATTCTTGAAACCACACACGAAGGGACTAGTAGAGTAAAAGTTTCGAAGATTAATCTTTTGATGCATGATTTCGAATTGTTTCATATAAAACCAAGCGAAACTATTGGAGACATGTACACCCGTTTTACGGATGTCGTCAATAGTTTAAAATCACTTGGTAAAAGCTTTTCGGATTTTGAACTTGTAAACAAAATTTTACGTTCTCTTGCTAAAGATTGAGATTCAAAAGTAACTGCCATACAATAGGCTAAAAACCTAAACAATCTTCCACTCGAAGAACTAATTGAGTCTTTAATGACCTATGAAATGAATAATGTGGCAGAAAAAGATCTCGAGAACCACCTTCCAAAGAACAGAAAGGATTTCAGACTAAGAACAATTGAAGATCACTCAAGCATAAGCTCAAGTGATAGTGAACTTGAACTCATCACTATGAAATTTAAAAAGTTCATTAAA